GTTTTTGACAGCTATTGTGCGTGGGCGTGTTTTAGGCCCGTAACGTCAGTCGTCCCTACAATTGTAGGGCGCGTTTATGGCCTCCTTGGTTGTCATACTCCTTTCTCTCCTTCAAAAATTTCTAGATTGCACCCGTCCCGTCTCAGCGTCAGCGCTCTCCTATTGTGAAGATATGTTTTCTTTTTAAATTGTAGGAAATTTCAGGCTCATAAAACATGATATAACTCGAAAGCAAGCACAATTTGATGCAAATAGATGTTTGTGATATAACCTCAAAATAGAGCGCTGGCATGGAGAAGTAGAAAACTATGACAATCTAGGAGGCCATAAAGGCGCCCTACAATTGTAGGGACGACTGACGATACGGGCCTTAGTTAGTCTCCGATTTTTGTCTATTCCAAAAAATGGATCAAAGAATTTGTATTAAATTTTGTGTAAAAAACAACTTGAAGTGCGCGGACATTTTCCAAATGTTGACTGTTGCACACGGCGAAGCTACTTTGGACAAGAGCAATTTTTCAAAATGCTTCGAGGATTGGAAGAAATGTTATTACAAGTGTATAATGTCTGATGGAGATTACCTAAAGGGGGCAAAATAGATATTCATGAATAAATAAATAATTCTTGAAAAAACATGAAATTCGCGATACTTTTTGAACAAACCTCGTATTAATGAAAAACATCAAGGTTAGACGTTTAGTGTTATTACTTTTAGCAAATATTTGAATATTGACCTTGGATTTGACCTTGTAACGTGTCAGGTTGAGCAACTTTTACAGAAGTATAACAGGATTTTTGATAAAAGCAACTATTAAGGACAGTTCTTTAGGAACCTTTGATATAGATTTTAATGGTGACCTTACCTTGAAACTTGAATTGCACCTCACCTTCAAACTCATTTCAAACGCAACTTTTTTAACTAGGGACCCTCCTCTTTGACAGTGTTTATGGATAATTTCACATTTTAATACGTTCGCATGTACTCTTGCCCTTGAAGTGAGGCTCAAGGTCAATATTGAAATCTTTGTTGAAAGTTACTGAAGAGCCTCATATTTCACGTTCATTTTACCTTCAGAAGTATCTGATTTTTGGTTTTTGACAGTTGACCGTGAAATAACGTTGAAGGTGAGATTGAAGGTTAAAGCCAAGGCCACTATTGAACTCTTTGTTAAAAGTTGATAAGGCCTGACCTTGACATTTTTCGAAAAAACTTTATATGGACAAACACAGAGCTCGTCCATTACTTTTGTTACACCAGAGAGCATGTCACGATTAGTAATCAATGAACGTGTTAGTTTTTTTTTTCGTCGAAGTTGAATAACAGAAAAACAAGTACTTGATATGGTCGAATCACCTTAGCACTCATTACGTTAGCATACCTATTTGAATTTCTTGCCAGCGTGTCTCGATTGGTCATGGTCCATGTTATCATACAAAGGTTGAAAGACGTTACTTGAGGATCACTTAATAAATTTATTTATTGAGTTCGAAACCGAAGATCACTAATAATACTATTTACGTTTTCTCGAATTTTTGCATAAACATTAATAAGGGATAGTCAGCTAATCATGCCTCAAACTAAATTGCAACTATTTCCAATCGCCTGTGGTGCTCAGAAATTCCTTACAGGAATTTGGATTTTATTACGGCAACACTGTGCCCTACTGTCAGTCCGTTTCAAAATCGACTCGGAAAATGATTGGTTGCCAAATAAAATTGAACAATATTCGGGCGAAAATTTCAATTGCTAATTTCTAAACAGGTATTTCGGGCATTAAGAATTACCTTACAATCCACGAACTTCTTAATGCCCTATGGCGGAAATGTGAATTAGCCCGCACTATATTCAAAATGATATGCTCATCAACCATAAGAAATGTAAGTGCCTATATATTTGCTGATATAGTGCGGTCAATTTATTGTAATGTTCAAAAATTGAACATAAATTTTCACTTTTTCTATGGCCGGTTATAGGTAGGTAAGTCTCTACGTATATCTTGAGCGTAAAAACCATTTATATTTCTTGCACACTAGCTCTAATCCTACAGTGAGGTCCAGAAACGCCCAGTTTAACGTCCTATATACATAAATAACTATTTTTTGCCACTGTTTTACTACTTATCGGGATGCATTACAGATAAAAACATTTAGTTTAAAAAAAGTAGAGTCACGATACTACAAAACGTACATAAATCCACTCTTATTCTAAATTACATCCCAACGCCTCTGCATTTTATCCTGCCTAATTGGGGATTGTAAAATCAAGCCACCCTTGACTGTCGACCGTCGGCGGCGCGCCGCCTGTCAATTGTTCGTGTATCGGGTTGCTAGGGTTACCCTCCTATTCATCCGCTTCCAAAGCACACTGGGATTTTATTAAGTTCCGCACTGACACGTACACTTCACCTTATTCTGATGCGCATCTATAGGCGATACAGGAAGTCCCTGTTCCCTTATGCATGTGTATCATCGACGTTCGATAAGTATGTGGATTTTTGAAGATGTGCATCTCTTTCAACTATCTACTCCACCTTCAATCCCGGTGATGTTTTTTGAACGAGAATATTATATCAGATATTCCTCCTCGGCACCGGTACATAAATACACCTCCAAATTACAACTCCTTATGTCAAATTGTGATTTTCTATATCAGATAGCGATTTTTTTCATACTGCATATAAGCTATCAATGGCTCACATCATCTGTGTGTGCATGCTTCCTTTGACATGGATCTTTAGCACATCCGAATCATCGAACAAATAGTGCTCAACTTGTGCACATGCTCTTTATTGCGCTTAAAAGCAGCTAATTTCGATCCTTATACTCGGTGATGTTTCCTACGTTACATCTTGTCCATAAGTACAGTCCATGTAGTTTCTACATGTATGCAACCAGGAAAACAAGCAAGTGAAATGCGGGATGCAGTAATTTAGGCAAATATCAGCAAAGCAGCCGTTCCTTATGGGTAGTGCTCACGGAGTGTGGGCTATCTGAGCATCGTAGTACATTGTCAGATTGAGAAGGTAGTGGTTATAAGGAATCCTTGAAGTTAACGTATCGGATGTAGCAAAAGTAACGGGACTTATTTCAAATTCAATAGTAACCTTGGATTCAACCTTGAACCTCATATTATATATGTTATATCTTTATCATATTTTAAGAGTACAGGCATTACTTCCCATTGATTTTCGAAGGCGTGACCTTTTGTCAGTGGTATCTTCAAAAAATTACACAAAATCCGCAATTTGAATCAATGATTCTGTTCACGGACGAAGCTAATTTTTCTCGAAATGTCATTCAGAATTTCTACAATAATCATTTGTGGGCAGAAGAAAATCCCTATGCCGTAACCGAAACCCATTTCCAAGACCAATTTTCGGTTAACGTATGGGCAGGAATTATTGGCAACCACTTTATTGGCCCATTCTTCTTGACGGACAGACTTGTGCAGTTGCCTTTGCTGCTTGATGATGTTCCGTTAGTAATAAGAAACAATATGTGGTACATGCACCAGCGCGTTTCAGTGTAGCGGTTCGTAATTATTTATTTACAAACTGTTTATCCAAATCGTTGGGTTGGCCGCGGTGGGCCCCAAGAATGGCCACCAAGGTCCCCAGACCGCAACAGTTTAGATTTCCTTTTGTGGGGCTATCTCAAGACACTAGTGCACACAAATCCCATTAACACTGTAGAGGAATTAAGAGGAAGAACAGTTGCAGCTTGTGATAGAATAAAAAACACTCCAGGGATATTTCAACGAGTGCGCAATTCCATGAGGAGGGCGGAAGCATGCATACAAAGTGAAGGGGACCCTTTTCAACAATTTTTGTAATCATTTCGTTGGTTTTAATATTATGTTTATGTTGTCAGTTGCTGTTGTTCATTACCCCTAATGTGTTTAACTTTTCCAATTAAATTAATTAAATTAATAATGATTTTGTTAGACAATAGAACGATTTTTATTTTTTTACTCAAATATGGCGCATCGAAGGAAAACAATTCAAGATGGATCATTTGTTTTAAATTGAACAGGAAATTCAAAAATAATGTTTATTTGGCAGAAACCATTGGCGTACCATTTCTTTCTTAAAATATATCGAAGTCAATACCGGTACGCACGCCACTGTTAAAGTTAAAAATCATGCAACTTTATTAAGATTCAGTATGTACCAAATATCAGTGAAATATCTGAAGCGATTCTGAAGATATTAATTAATTTCCATTTTTTTCCTAAAACTTCAACAACCCGAGTTTTTGTAAGGAAACATTTTTCTGGACCATAGTTTATAAAGCAAACTAATGCCAGCCATACACGTAACGATATACTTGCGCAAACTCAGACTTGCACAAGTATACTGTAGCGTGTGTTGGAAGATTTTTGCGCAAGTGTCTAGACTTGTACGCAAGAACGTTGCAATTTTCGATTCCGAGACTTGTGCAAGTTTACGTTTGCGCAAGTTTACTTGAACGTGTGTGGCGACGAGCGTTCGCAGTTAGCGATGTCCTGCTGCTTGGTTGTACACACGCGTTGCGTTGTTCAGCACCAAAATGAGTGAGACACGTGGAGTTCGAGAAAATTTGGGAGAATTTAGAAATGTGTACAGAAATGAACCATGCCTCTGGCAAATGAAGAACAAACACTACCATAATAGAGATAAAAAACCGCCGCTTATAACAAATTAGTAGAACTGTATAAGAAAATAGAACCAAGTGCCAACCGAGATATGATAGTTAAAAAAATTAATGGCTTACGCACCAACTACCGTAAAGAAAAGAAGAAGATAGAAGAGTCTAGCCGATCTGGAGCAGGCACCAATTATGTTTATGTGCCAACATTATGGTATTATGATTTACTGAAATTTCTCGATGACGACCAAGGAACGCCAAGATATTCTCGTTCCAACATCGACGAAGATGATAGTTCTGAAGTAAGTACACGAAATTAGCTATTATATTTTTATTTAATGTAAATATTTACAAGGTAACATTTCTCTGTGTGTTTAAGGAATAAAGTTATCTTGCCAAGGTACACTCCCCTTGTTATTAAAGTAATGTACATACTGTTCTCTAAAATTTTTGGCAGCAGTTGCGTTATTTCCAGAGTTTCGTCGATATAATGACTCCATGTTTGAATCATGTGATGTTAAACCTGATGTAATAGTTCCATCTTCTAAGTTTTCGTGATCGAAACATTCTGCAGAACTATATGAATTCGATGACGACATTAAAAAGTTATGCAAAGCACAGCTTGCCGTTACCACCTTATCAATGTTCTTGGGTTCTAGATTAATTTGAATTTTATATATCCGAAATCTAGAAGCCAAGATTCCAAATGCATTCTATACAATGCGCCGCGCTCGAGATACTCGGTAATTGTATATCTTTCTTTCGCGAGAATTTAAATCTGCCTGTCGGTATGGTTTTATCATATCTGTTCTCAAAGCAAAAGCATCGTCGGCTACAAATACATAAGGAAGTATTTTGGAACTTCCTTTTATAATAATAATAATAATAATAAATGGCCTTTATTTTACCTGGCGGGTTACATCAGCACAAGCTGTTTTTCAGAACCAACCAGGGCTAAAAAAAAATTCAAGTACATGCAAATACAACAAAAATACATTGAAGATAACATTTAAAGCAGAAAAAAATTTTTTTTACAGAATCGTAGCATGGTATAATGACCAAAAGACTACTTATAGGTTCATCTGACGGGATACTTAATTGGTGTTTTTGAAGCTTATCATAAAATGTAGTAGTCTAAAGCATACCTCCGTCTGATATCCTGCCGTTAACACCAAAGCTGCACATTATAAATTGGTACCTAGCATCCACTATTGCAAGAAGTACCATACTACCTTTATAATTATAAAAATAGGAGCCACTTCCACTTGGACGAATAATGTCTATGTGTTTCCCGTCTATGGCGCCAAGGCGATGTGGAAAATTCCACCTATTTTCAAAATGTTTTGTTATATTTTTCCATTCATCTTCTGTTTGTCGAAACTGAAAGCAAAGAAAGTAAAATAACAATTATTGTTCCAGGAAACCATACAAGCTTCAATGAACAGCGATGTTTTGCCATCACAAGATAGAGATGATAATTCTCTGGAAACAGCTAGTACCTCTACACAAATATCAAGATTTATCTACCGACGTATTGCAAGTCGTAAAAGAGCATTTCAAGCGTCCTTTGTTGAGCGAAGACCGATTTGATATTTTTGTCAAAAATGTCGCAATGAAACTGCGCGATCTACCAATACAGCAAAGGCTGATTGCTGAAAAAATTATAAACGACTCATTATTTCAAGCAGAAATGGGCAACTTGAGACTGCGACATGGAGAGTTCAATGTACGTGAGTTCTATCGCACAACTCCCAGTCCTCCAACATATCAGCCACAACAGTTTATTCGTGCAACTCCAACTCCCAGTCATTCAGCACACCGGCCACAACAGTTCATTCGTGAAATCCCAACTCCAAGTCCTCCAATACACCACTCACAACAGTTTAACCAAGGAACCCCAATTCTAAGTCCTCCAACACAACACTCACAGCAGTTCATGCATTTAGGATCAACTCTATCTTCATTGCCACGCATCGAGCAAGAATGTAATGATTCTTCCACGCCTTCCATGCAGTACAATTCGGATTCACAACATTCGACTGAACATACTGAAGTGCAATTATCTATTCCAGAACAATCAGCCGGGGCATTTATATCCAGCTTCAATGATTGTCAATAAATGTTTAAGAATTAAAAACCTTTTACTCACCTTAAAATAATCCTTCCGCAGTACTTTGTATATCGCTTCACATGTTTCTGGAATAATAACACCCAACGCCTGGGGTGATATTATTGTTGTAAACTTTAGGTCTTCGTAACTCCTTCCAGTTGCGAGAAACCTCAGAGTTGCTGTCAATCTTTCGTGTGGCGATATAGCTTTTCGCATTACAGTATCTTGCTTTTTAATAAGTGGAGTAACCATCGATAGAAGCTTCAAGTAAGTTTCTTCGTTCATACGCAGGTAGTTATGCCAGTCTTTGGGTGCAAATTTCAATTCGTTCACTAAATTGATGTGTGAATAATGTTCTCTTTTCATTAACCAGTCCTTACACCATATAGCTCGATGCCTTTTAGATCTTTTCAGTTTTTTTGTAGCAACTATCAAGCCAACTATCGCCATAGCATCATCAATGGATGCCATCGTCGCAACACAACTCGCCTGCTCCATGACTTTCTCAAAAATGATCGGTCAAGTATACTTGCGCTGTGTGTGCTCGAAATAGGATGATGTGTGTTTGCGCAAGTCTAAGCTTGCACAAGTATATCGTTACGTGTAAGTTATGGTATTCTGATAACATTAACATCATCCAAGTCCCAACGAGTATAATACCGTTCTATACTCGTGAGACAGGATGTGAAGCTTGCATTTTCACCCGACACATTTCTGGAAAATTGTTATCTTGAGATATAAAACCGGTCGTCGACCATTCTCTGTACTCATTTCGTTACTTAATCCCCTGTAACCAACTGTTGCTGATGCATTAATAAAAGTTCATCTACAAAAGTACTGACAAATTTATTTTGTATGGCTGGCATAACATTAATTTTCGATGTAGATTCACACCCTTAAATATTCCCATATCATTAAGGAACACCCTGTATAGTTTGATATGGAGAGGTCGAAGATTCATCGTACCTATTCACGACCCTATTTCGCCCTTTGAAATGATTTGACTGTATAGAGTCAATCTACTTGACTCCATGATTGAATATCGTCCTGTTAGTATTTTCCGGAGCATCCCCTAAAATATATAAAATACGTCCGCACCTGTCTTCGTAAACGTTTAACTTTCCACCCCACTCAGCCCTTAGTAAAAAGCCTCTGTCAATACGCCGTTTTATTAAATTTATTAAGATCATGAAGATATTACAGGAGCTCTTATGGGAGCAAAATAAATAAGAAGATTTAATAAAATTTTTGATGTAACAAATGAATACCCCTTAATAAGAGAGCAGAAAATGGAAGCCCTTATTGTACTACGGCTCTTTGAAGTGACATTGCAATTAAAGTAATATGATGAAGTTTGTCTGGTTTAAAGCTTGCGTGCATTGCTGTCCATACTTGACGCTGTTCAGAAGAGGTATATTCAAATGATCGGTCAGGCAGTCTTCAGTATTTCTAATATCATAGGGTTATCGATAATATAGCTAGTTCCCTTCCGTCGATATGTCAACGAGATTCCTCCTCTGAATAATAAATCGGAATATTCTATAGTTTACACATTTTATTGTTTTTCCTCTTGTCGATTATTCCGCAATCTCGACACCCTCGAGACAAAGGAGCGGTCGTATCGGCCAGTTATGGATGTACGAAGTTTGACACGGTTAGGATAGGAGGCCAAAGTCAGGCGGGTTGGTCTGGCAGGTCTGAGGAGCAAAGCCGATCGCCGACGGCCAGCCGGTGCGAAAGGGTCCCGAGACTGTCTGTTAGAGAAGAGCCCTCCTCTGGATAGCATCGAAAATAAATAATGTAGTCGGGGCGGTAGCACCCCAAACGTGTGATCAATACTCGAGGCTAGGCCTTATATGGGCCTTATAAAGAGTGAGGTCATGCGGAAACAAGTTCTTCTTAGCCCTAAGCAAATAGCCTAGCTTCTTCCCAGTAGCTGCCGCTATTGACGAGATGTGTTCGTCCCAGATCAAGTCTCGGTGATCTGGACTCCGACCAGCCGAAATGAACGGCTCTTTGGCAGAACTCGGCCATCCATCGAAACTGGATGAGAGCTAGGACGCTTTTTGTTCGTCAAGATACATACAGTGTTTTGGAAGCATTAACCTGTACAAGATTGTTCCGTCCCCAAGCAGTAATAACCTCCAGGTCTCTCGTCAGAGAGGAAGTCGTCGCTTTTTTCCAGCTCAGCGGCAGAGATCGGCTTGTCACTCTGAATTCCTGCATGTAGAGTGCTGTCATCAGCGAAGCTGTAGATTGGGTTGATCGTGGAGGAAAGGAGGTCGTTGATATGAAAGAGGATCTAAGACCGATCCATGGGGAACACCCGCATTGACGTTGTGGGGGCTTACAATAAACAGATTGTACATTTTGATTCCTTTTCACTTTATTTGTTGTAGTATAAAAATACTTCTATGACTAAAATGTCTTTATCGATTTGTAACTAAATTAATACATGTGAAATTTAGCATAATATCAGGACAACACATTGAATCAATGAATTATATGAAAATGAATGGATATAAAAGTACTAACAACTATAGTATGAAATGCAACGAAACTTGGCTACATAAATGGTAAAATCCTGACTAGTGATCGAAAAATTAAATTAAAATTAAAAATTGTCATCTGACGCAGCATTATAGAATCTTCTAGAATAAGCAGCTGGTGAATCGTCGCAGATTCCACATAGGCTGATCCATTTTCTTTGATAGGCAAAAATAAGGAGGAGAATGGTAGGGATGGCTACCAGGACCCCTAAAAAATCATAATAAAAGTATTTTATTTCAGTAAAAATAAAAATCAAATAGAAAATCAAGTAGCTTGGTGGCGAAGTCTCTCTCAAATAATTAAACAAATTACAATATTTTCCCTGGAAGTTAGTACACCAAAAATTCAAGATAATTAATAAGCTAAATTCAAGATAAAACATAAATATTACAAAAAAAGCAAACAATGGAGTATACTTAAATACGTAAATATACTAAGTGACATATAAATCCGAACACCCAGTTTAAATGGTTTTATTTTAATAAAAGTTGGTGAATGTATTTATCTTACTGTAAATAACAAGTGAAAAAATTTTCAACCTTATCAGTTGGACATTCCGGTTTTTATACTGCTTTTTTTTAATTCACTAACGCTCTAAAAATGAATATTTCAGCCGCAGTAAAGAATCAACGTTGGCGGATTTTGGTTCTTTACATCCTTTACGATCGGTTACGATGCCTATAGTACGGAGACCTGTACGATTTCGTCAACTTAGTGAGTTTGATAGGGGCCGTATAGTGGGACTTCGGGAAGCTGGACTTTCTTTTCGGGCAATTGCAGTTAGAGTGCAAAGAAGTGTAGACACTGTGGTTAGGTGTTGTCAGGCATGGCTTCGAGAAGGCCGTACGCAAAGAGCAAGGGGCACTGGACGCCGCCGTAGAACAACAGACCGTGAATATCGCCGCCTAGGATTATTGGCCTTAAGGGACCGTTTCTCCACTACCAGGTCCATTGCAGATGAATGGTTTGCAGAACACGGAAGACCTATTGGCATGCGAAGTGTTTACCGACGAATCGAGAAGTTTTGGCTTGTTTTCATACCGGCCACACTGGGTCCTCCCTTTAACTCGAGAACACCGACGTAATCGCCTTGAGTGGTGCAGACAACGGTCACTCTGGGATCAGGAATGGAACAGTATTGGCTTTAGTGACGAGTCTCGATTTTCTTTAGGTATGCACGGTGGTCGTGCCAGGGTTAGAAGGCGACGTGGTGAAAGGAGGAATCCGCAGTTTTTTGTTGAAAGACATGTTCATCACACTGTTGGAGTTATGGTTTGGGGTGCTATAGCTTATGGTTCCAGGTCACCTTTAATCTTCATCAGAAGTAACATGAACGCGCAGCATTATATCCACGAAGTTCTAGAACCCCATCTTTTACCCTATCTTGACACCCTGGCAGATCCAACTTTCCAACAAGATAATGCCCGACCACATGTTGCAAGAGTCACAATAGACTTCTTTCAACATAATGATGTCACATTGTTACCATGGCCACCAAGATCTCCCGACTTATCCACAATTGAGCACGTGTGGGATATGATGGGTAGGAGATTGCTCAATTTGCAACGTCCTCCTCAGGCTCTAGAAGCACTTCGAGAGGAGTTGGTGGTTGCCTGGAATGAGATACCACAGGAGGACATTGACCACCTGATCAGAAGCATGCCTAGGCGCGTTGGAGAATTCGTAGCACATCAGGGTGCATCCACACATTATTAAACGTCAAAGGGCTTTAAAGCAGTGCAATCATTTTGAAATTTTTATCATTTACTTATTATGCTTCATTAAGTGCTTTTACAAGATTTTATTAAAATAAAACCATTTAAACTGGGTGTTCGGATTTATATCTCACTTAGTATATATAGTCTGGTTGAGGAAGTAGATTTCTAATATTGCAAAAAATTAAAACATAGGAAGGAGTAGCAAATAAATGGTGAAGGCACTATCCATCGAGTAACTGTTTTTCTTTAATTATATTCAGATGTATTAATATACTCAGTTACTTTAGAAGAGTTACACCCAGAAAAAATTATTTCTTCAACTTGTTTTTTAGCAACATAATGACTATATTTAAAGCAGGCTGTGGTAACAATGTCAACGTATTATCTTTGTTTTTGCTTACCTTTATTAAAATGTTATCTCTTAGATTTTGTGATGAAAGCAGTTTCTGAGAGCTGAGTAATACAGATATTTTTAGTTATTGCTCTTTCATTTAGTGTTCAGCATAACAAAATGCCTCGAGTTTGAAGACGTCCAAATCCATGTTAGCGACTTTGACAGGGACAGAATTATTGTCAACGAGATGTTGGTTTGTCCTATCGCGAAATTGGCCGCCGTGTTAATTGTGCTGCAATGACGGTAATGCGTGTGTGTCGTGTGTGGATAGAAGAAGGTAGAGGAACACGAAAAGGCCAACTGGTTCACCGAGGCGTATCACAGAGCGTCACGATAGGCGCTTTAGGCAACTAACCCTGCGAGTCCGTTTTGCTACTGCGCGTCAGATCGCTGACCAATGATTTGGAGAAGATAGACCTGTTACTGTGAGGACACTCTATCACCGCATTCGAGCGTTTGGACTTTTTTCATACCGTCCACGGCTAGAGCTTCCTCTGACTGCGGACCACTGACGTCAACGTTTGAACTGCAGCAGAGAACGGCAACAGTGGGAGGCAGAATAGCATAATGTCATCTTTAGCGACGAATCGCGATTCTGTTTAGGTACGCACGAATTGCTGTGGAAAGGCATGTGAGGCATGTACCTCATTGTCAAAAAATTAAGTTGAGGGAACGATTTTTTTCTGGGTCTAACACTTCTAATGTCACTGAGTATATTTAATGATCTAAACTCTTCTGGCAGCAAAGTGTATGCTCTGTCAACATTATAGGCAAATGATCTACGGAGCAAAGCAACACATCAGTTCGATATAGAGGCATTGTGAAGGTGAATTTACCTCTAATGTTCACAGAATGAGCCTAGGTTGAAAAGTTAGCACATAGAGAATTATAAAGGTAGATGCCATTCAAAAGTTTATGATTGAATATGTTCAAATGAATAAATCTTCTAAATGTGACCATATTTCGTTGTTCCATACACGAAACTGCAGCAGCTACTCTGCACCTTTTGGTTACGGAATCTGTCAGAGCGTACTAAACAAGTGCCATGTACAAAGTCGCAATGGCTAAAATGACTCAAAACCAGAATCTCACACAATATTATCTATGTTTTAAGAGCAGAAATTGCTATCAATAATAGTCCCCAAATTCCTAGCATAATCCCTTAGTTCAAGAAGAACACCGTCAATCTGGAGTCTCACACTATTTTTCATTATATCAATAGCAGGTTTTGAACCAAAAAATAAAAAAATTTAGACATCCTTTATTTCATATAGCTGGAGTAATGAAATCAGTTCTGAGCGCTATTGGTCTTGCAATAGATTTCTTTCCTAAGGGGTAATAGATTCACAGCCATTGAGAAATAGATCTCTCCCAAGAAATCGAAATAGATTTACAGGAAACTGTAATAGATTATTATTGTATTCTATATTTTGTGATATATTTTTACAACACAGATCTCTTATATTGATAATCACGATGTCAGGAACATAATGACAACAAATATATATAGTATTATGATTTTACGAAGTTAGGTTATTTCACTGACTATTTTCATTTTCATTTTATTTCATGATTTTGAGTGATACCTTAATAACAATTTTAGTGGGGAGTTTTTGTTTTGAAAAAAAAAACAGTTATAAGTAGAAGACCTTAAGACAGGAACACGAAAGACCAAAGTGTTGTTAACATAACCTAACTATTCATCTTTCAAATATGATCGATCATGCAACATGAAAACATCGTCTATCTTTGTCGGATACATGCAAATTAGCAATACAGTTTGGTTAGACAATAAAATTCTGTTTGTCTCTGTCTAACACATCAGAAACTTCATTAAATATATTCACAAATCGCAGTCGTTTGTCTTTACTCTAGACTAAAATGATGACGTAATCGCCATCTTTCGTGATTTCGACTATAGCCAAAATCACGAAAGATGACTATTACGTCATACCATAAATTGTACTGAAGTAGTCAATGGACGTACGTCGATGATAAAATCACGAGACAGGAACATAATGGCAACAAATTTATATTATGATTTTGCGAAGTTAGGTTATTTCACTGATTATTTTTATTTTCATTTTATTTCATGCTTTTGAGTGATACCTTAATAATAATTTTAGTAGGCAGCTTTTGTTTTGAAAAAAAAGTTATGAGTAGAATACTTTAAGACAGGAACGCCGAAGACCACATTATCATTCTAAAAGAACCCAACCTGCTTTAACATAACCTAACTATTCATCACTCAAATTTGATCGATCATGCAACATGACAACATTGTCTATCTTTGTTGGATACATGCAAATTAGCAGTGCAGTTTGTTTAGACAATAAAATTCTGTTTGTCTCTGTCGAACATATCTGAAACTTCATTAAAAATATTCTCAAATCGCTGTTGTTTATCTTTACTACAGACTAAAATGATGACGTAATCGTCATCTTTCGTGATTTCGACTATATTTTGATTGTATTGTCCAATTAACGAAGATATAGAGCGGCACCTATACCAGTAGAATTGAGGTTATGCCTATATTATCAATTAATTATGTGATAATGTTTGCGTTTTCCCTGTATTATTTTCTATAAATATTATGAATTTTATTGTAGGCTATATTATTCATCATTATTATTTCCGCGGTGCAATTCATTGATTAAATAGTTCATTGAGGATTTTCCGTATTATAAATTTTGAATTCGCTGTTTAGAGGCTCCTCATTTAGACGTTCATCAGCTGGGTACCTCCTACTATTTGGAATTGTCAGACAAAAGCATTTGTTGGGGTTTTTTTCCAAGCCTGTGACCTTTTGCAAAAAAACACGAGAAGTTAGATGAGCTCTGAAAATATCCTATACAAACTGCAAATGCTCACGTAATTCGTATACTTTGAGTGGAATACAAAGAAAGAACGAATAAATCGGACAGGTGCACCTAGGAATGGAACTCACCTAATCGTTTTCGAGTGAAGTATGACTCATCAAAAAAGGAACGTAGACATGTATGATCCAAAAACTGGTTTTACTATTGCTGCACAGATGGCGCCAGCAGCGGTCACGAAAGAATAGGAAAACTATGCTTATAGTAATAGGTAATAGAAATAAATAGTAGAAATTTTCTAATAGTAATAAATCAATTACAATCGTAATAGATGGAACAAGACTTATTGACATCGTAAAATTTTGCAGCCCTATATAATAGAACACAGGGTAACTTCTTGAGCTTTTGGCCTTTTGACCTATATTTTGATATCATGTGGTATACTTACCAGCCAAAACGCCTACCAACATTGCTGCATCCAGATCTGGTCTAGCATCATTTGTGTCTAAACACCTCATATGGCTTTTTTTGACAAATAAGTCTGCAAATTTTATATCTTTCATTTCTATGGGAGCTGCACATCTACAAAAACAAATATTATTTTATAAAATGTTTTCCAAGATCTTATCTTAAACTGTCTTGCGCTAAAATATACTTTTTACACAGTAGTAGCCGCGCAGGCAGAACCCTAAATGCCAGAGCACCGCTGCGGCTAAGAGGAGCTCGAAGAACTTATTTTATTGCCCTTGTATAACTGGATCTCTGGGTACCAGTGAGAGACACCCTCGTATACCAACAATAAGATTCGACAGGTAACCAGAAGTGGGATTGATGCTGAGGCAACCAGAATTGAGCGACCATGAATGGAGCGGGACCATTCGCGACGCCATCGAGTATTCGATACATCTGGTGATGAATCTGCTGCCATCTAGACTACTCTCATGGAAGTTCTGCCTGGAAAACGCTGGAATGTGTCTCGACTCGTCGATAGGGGAATAAATACCCGACCAGATGGCGAAAGCAGCCAGTCACATTCTAGACAGTGATCGACACGTGATCATAGTCTTGTCGACATGGTTAGAAATATGCCAAAAAATTAATTATTGCATGCGTTATAAATTAGTGTATAGTAATAAATTAGACTTTGGACAGCAAAAACGGTGTTTTCGTTACAGTATTGAAGCATAATTTCATCATCCAGAATTTTAGCAGGCTGAGATGACCCGTTATAAACATAAGTAAATGTGGAACTTTTTGAAAAGCACCATATAAAAGATTACTCACTTGATAATTTTTGCATTGGCAGGATTCAGTTTTATGTATATTGGCATTAAATCTTCAATCAGCCATTGATTCTCACATTCGCACGTCCATGGGTTGTCGTTGATGTCCAATGCTAATAATGCGTCCCATCTTGCGACCAATTCACTCTCCAGATAGGATAGCTTGTTGTTACCTAAGTACAGCTAAAATACCAGAAGTTGACTTTTGAGGACTGCTAACAATACGAGCGAAAAGAATCATCTACGCACCCGATATACCATAGACAAAAGTTTTCGTTTCAATTGCAGATCAAGAATCTTTGAAAGGTTTTTCCCAATATAAACCAGGCAATATGGCGGGAGTAATAAGTAATAAAACAGGAATTTTGTCAACATATTTGGTGAAGACGGGTCAAAAGTGAAACTCTACAATATGGGTCGGGCTTGGAAAAAATACCTAAGAAAGTCATTTTTTAAAATTGCTTAAACATGCTCCCACTAAATAAAAATAGCTGTAAGAAGAAGTTGGTATATTTCAAAGCTTACATCCATTGCTAAACTCATGTCGCAGAAAACAAGCCTAGATCATGCAAATGAGTTGCCAAAAAGCACGAAACAGCTGTCCATGGTAGCTGACAGAGAAAGCAGCATGTTGGTAAGAAGACGCAAATATTATACCACCAGAATCGTCAGCCTCTTGCGGTCATACTGGTTATCAAACACTGAGATATTCACAGTTCCAACCGACAGCTGCTATACACTTTTGCAGTGGTCGATTCTGGCAATAGATGGCGCTTTGTGCTATCGTATTTCTATACTTCAACGTAAGATACCTACTTCTTTCAAGGGCGGCCATATTGCTCCTCCATTGTTGTCCATAGCTTTAGCAATAGCCATTGGGTCAATACTGGCTAGATCTATGTTGTCAGTTAGCTTCAAAACTGCGAGTTGTATCAAACCACTCAAACTGTGCTTTCCCAAATGTTGCAAGTGCTCATTTCGACATAGATGAAGTTCTTTCAATTTCGGTAGCTCTGGGAAGCCACTGAAACAGAATCAAATTGTACAGAATAATTCAAGAATTAATATCACTGTAGAATTGCCAGAATTTTCCCTTTAGAATATACCAGAATGCGTAGGTGTAGAATGTCTAATTTTATCAATGTTGTCAATTTTAAGAAATGGCTTGAAAAGCAGTTTTTTGCTTCAAATATCCAGTGCTTTAAAGAATGTAGTCAGGAAAATGAAAGTATGAAAGAAAGTTCATTTAATAATACAGGCTGTTTAAAGTTCTTGATAAACCACTTTAGATTGAGACAACTGATAATGCTGCTTCACTCCATTTGAGTAATCCAGAGCTAACCGTGCACAGCTGTTTCATGCTTTTGAAAACATCAGCTCGGTCTAGGCTTGATATCTACTGTATCGCCAGAATCGATGGCGCCATGCAGTCACAGTGAGGACTTGGCTTTCAACGTGACCTGAGATACCTTTGTAGTTCCATTGTATTACCAAAGCATTTATCTCGGCACCACTCTAATAGATTTAGCAAAAAATTGGTATACGTATCTCAAAGGTGGATTCTTCTTGAAAACTGCCTCATAGAGGTTTTCATGCACACACAAATCGTTTGACGTGTCTCGACGTTTTTTCTTTCAATCAGTGGTTTGAAATTTTTTATTTCCGTGAAGACTTTGATGTCTTAAGTTACAGGCTTCAGAAAGCCACAAAGTAAAGGCCAGAAAACATGCAGAATTATCAGAATAAAAACCACAGGATATGTTTCAGATGTTACGTTAACCACAAGGTTGACTTACTCACTTCTTTTCTGTCAGGTTGACAAATCCAGTGTTGTTCATGAACAGTTTTGTTAAGTTTTTAGCTTGTGCTAAGGTGCGAGGCATCTCTGTTATGGGATTGCCAGACAAATCTAGTACTTGCAGGTGTTTCAAAGTATGTAGCAAATGATCAGGCAAACTTGTTATGTTGGTGTACTGAAGATACAGCTCCTAGGGAGAAGAAAAAAATACCGAATTCAATGTCGAATCGATCGGAGAGTATTGATTACATTGATTGCTTATTTCTAGGCTATAATTTGAAAACGGTATATGGAATGTTTCGTAAATATGGGGTATATATTCAAGGGGTTGTTCTCTCAATATCTCTAACAACGACGGATCGTCAGGATCGGAACATGGATTTAGTTCAAAAAAATGATGTATGAGTCTAGGACTCCCAATTCCACAGCATTTCGCCCAGTGATCAGAAATCAGTCAATGCAGAAGACGTACCTGTTATGTTTTAATTTACGATTGTTTTAATTTCTTAAAAGCACAATTTCTTAAGAAAGTTCTAAAAATAATGTAATGTAATGTTTTTTGTCAATTAATAACTTACTATGTTTCTGTATACAGGGTGTTTCAGTTTATTGTTGCATAACTTTAAGATTCTATAGAACTTCTAAAATTAATGCATAAAGTCTATATAAACATGGGTCGAAAAATGCGTTGCTTCCGAAATACAGGGTGTTTAAATTTACTTTCTAAAATAGTTTTTTTTTAAATATTTCGAACAATATTTGATGTATAACAGTGAAAATTGGTATACAAGGGTTTTTTGGTACGACAAAACGAACCATAGTTTTACTGTAGCCGCTAGAGGGCGCTCTCTACTGTACCTGTAGTGTATTAAAATGACCGAAAATTTTTTCTTAGTGCAATTTTTTTCTTTTTGAATAAAAAAACTGATTCTTCGTACTTTTCAACATAAAAAAGCTCTCCTGTGAGTTTTCGTTATAGTTAGCCGTTTTTGAGATATTTCAATTTCTAAGGTTCGATGCATTTTTCATTATTTATGGGAAAATAATACTTTTTTTCATTTTCGATTTGGGCCTTACAAGTAATTAAGATGATCGTTTAGATTGTGTTTTTAAACACAGCAATAATTCCTAACTCCAAATAAACACAAAAAACAGAATATTAATTTGTTTAATTTTCCAATATTATTTTTAACAAATTAAATTAATTATTTACAACTAAAATCTAAAGTAGTTGCTCGAAATGTAAACCCAATTGTTCAATACACAATTCACATCTACGAATGATCGAACGTGGTATAGCATTATTCAAATAAGGCCTTATTTCATCACATGCATTCCTGATTCTGTCTATTAGCATATCTCTTGTGGTTACGGGAGTCTGGTACACTTTTCCTTTTAGAAATCCCCACACAAAGAAATCTAATGGATTTAGGTCAGGGGATCGTGGAGGCCAGGCGACTGGTCCTCCACGGCAGATCCATCTTTTTGGATAATTTTCGTCAAGCCATTTTCTAACTATTCTCGAATAATGAGCTGGACAACCATCAAGCTGGAACCAGGCCAATCTTCTTAAATCTAACATAACATCATCCCACATATTTGCATGATCAGCCTTTAAAAATTCCAAGAAGGTCGCAGCATTTAACCTTGCAGGCAAAAGGTAGGGTCCAAATAGTCGATTACGGTAGATACCAATCCACACGTTCACACTAAATTCATGCTGAAAATTTCTTTCCCGAACTGCATGCGGATTTTCATGCGACCAAATATGTTGATTATGAAAATTTACCACTCCACGTCTAGTGAAGCATGACTCATCGGTCCATAAAACGTTACTTAAAAACTCCCTATTATTATCAGTTCTATCAAGAATCCACTGACAAAATGTGATTCTTCGTTCTCCGTCCCCTGGCTGTAGTCCTTGCACAGGTTACAAATAGTAAGGACGTCTATGGTCATTTCTAAGAACACGGTGAACATGGCTTGCTGAAATGTCCAAGGCACCAGTATGTATTGATCCCTTTGGAGACTTCCAAAACCATTTTCAATTATTTGGCGATGCACTCTTACAAATACTGAGCGAGTTGGATGTAGTCTGTTTGGAAATCTTCGTACGTGTTCTCTGGCTGCTTCTGCTGCGTTTCCATTTAAAAAGCCATACACAAAATGAATATCCGCTAACTCTTGATTGGAGAATAAAAATGGCATTTTTATAAAACTTACAAAAAAAAACAGGTAAAAGAAACTAAATTTCGTGCATTCACAATTGCAAAAAGACGTTTCAGGTTTCAACAGACAACAAAACTAACTGTCAACTAATTGACGTTTAACCTTATTCTGCTTGCAATTTCAAAAATATATGCAGGCACAGCCTACTTCTAAAAATTGTCGAGATACTGACTTTTTAACGTTATTTTATCATAAATAATTAAAAATGCATCGAACCTTAAAAATCGAAATATCTCAAAAACGGCTAACTATAACGAAAATTCAAAAGAGAGCTTTTTTATGTTGAAAAGTGCGACGAATCAGTTTTTTATTCAAAAAACAAAAAATTGCACTAAGAAAATTTTTTCGGTCATTTTAATGCACTACAGGTACAGTAGAGAGCGCCCTCTAGCGGCTACAGTAAAACTATGCCAATGGTTCGTTCTGTCGTACCAAAAAATCCTCGTATACCAATTTTCACTGTTATGTATCAAATATTGTTGGAAATATTTAAAAAAAACTATTTTAGAAAGTAAATTTAAACACCCTGTATTTCGGAAGCCACGCATTTTTCGACCCATGTTTATATAGACTTTATGCATTTATTTTAAAAGTTCTATCATTGTATGTATACAAATAAATTTGAAACATGGTCAAACACACACAACGTATCCGACAAATTTTAACCACATATGCACTGTTACGAAAGAAGTTGATATCTCAAAAAAAAGCAATATAATAAAAGTCCTACTGAAATCGAGATAATAAAATAATACAGTTTAACAATAAAGCTGTTCAAAATTGTTTCAATTGACTGCAATGCAGGCTTGGGCGCGTCTAATCCAATTTCGGCGCGCTAATTCAAATACACCTCCTTCTTACTGTGAGTTCTCAAATTATCGGCAGCCACTGTGATTCGGTCACACAATATCACACACAGTATCCCCTTAAAAATAAGTCGAGAGGATTTAGATCGGGAGACCGTGGAGGCCATGCAATTGGTCCGAGCCTTCCGATCCAGCGTATCTGGTATACCTGATTCAAAAAATCACGAACTTCTAAACGAAAATGCGGCGGTGCCCCATCGTGCAGAAACCACATCCGTGCTCGGATCGCCAATGGCACATCTTCAAGAAGGACCGGCAAATCATTCCGAAGAAATTCCGAATACTGTTGACCATCCATCCGATCTGGCGATATGAACGGTCCAATTGGACGTTCATCGACAATACCTGCCCACCCGTTTAAAGAAAAACGATGTTTTAACTGCGTCTGGACCACTGCGTGAGGATTCTCAAAGGACAAAACGTGTGTATTATGAAGATTGGTTATCCCATTACGAGTAAACAATTACTCACAAAATCATACTCTTAGGAGGTAGTCTATAGGTAGCAACGCCAGGACTCTCTGGACGTAATAAGGGTACAGTTGGGCATCATGTAATATGCGCCACGCTGTTGCATGTGACACTTCTGGACCTGTTGGGCTAACTGCCTTGTGCTTATTTCCGGATTTTCATCCACAATACCCAAAATTTCGTCTTCGGCATTTAAAACGCGTTGTGGGCGAAACCAACCCCCATCCACTCCATGTCTGGGGCGCAAAGCTCCACTAGCACATGCACGTAAAACAATTGAACTAAATGTCTCGTGATGTGGTATGTGCCTATTCGGAAATCGGTCTGCATACAAACGGGAAGCCGCTCGCGAATTTTGCCCTGCTTCTCCGTACGCTAAAACAGTGTCCACTAACTCCTCATGTGCCATTTTTATTATTAAATAACTAAAAACATAAACTCGCAAAATACTTTCTTATTTAACTTCACAATAATCAACCGTTCTTTATTCAGATCACCCACGATACAGATTAACACCTTATTTACACGTTATTATCAGTATGAAAAAAAAAAATTTTGTTTCCGTCAGTTGGTTGGCACAACATTTGCTACATTAAATTATTATTAATGCATGTTCTAATATCACGATATAGAACGCAAAATAAAAATTATTTATTATTGAAACTCAGGCTTATAACTTAATTTCTGTAGGACTTTTATTACATTTTTTTTGAGAAATCAACTTCTTCCGTAGCAGTCCATATGTGGTTAAAATTTGTCGAATAAGTTGTGAAACACCCTGTATAATGAGATTTGTTTACCGTTAACTCTTCTAAAACTAAAATGTCCATGGTTGACATGTAGCTCAAAATTGGGACACCCTATATAATTGCCAATATTTTATAAATGTGCTCTCAAATGTCATGTAATTGTATAACATGCCATAAATAGATTTTCCCAAAATGTATTTGTTTATGAGTAATATTCCGTCCACACATGGATGGGCCACTCTGTATTTCATGAGCAGCATATTCAGTAAAAATTTTCGCACATAGCAAATATCACTGATTCTATATACATGCAGATCAATACACAGTGTCATCCAGATGTGATCTTGCTACTCAACCTCACATCTTCTCTGACTAGAGCAGCAGCGGTGGCCGCAGTAGTAGACTCTTCGGTCTCCTGATCAGTCGCCGTGCGCTGTGCGGGTTCGAGTCCCGTCCCAGGAGAAATTTTTCTCTTGGCTATGGATGTTCTGATTGTCCGTAGGTGGTAGACGGTCTCTGACTGTCGAACGTGGAGGTACCACCCGGCGGATCTCGTAGGCGGAGCCAGAATGTGTGCATGTTGCATGCACACGTGTTCCCTCACCAGAGTCCGTGTGGCGTTCCCCCTTTCCCATGTATCCCCCTATAGCCCCACGGTACCCAATGGGTGTTTAGGCCTTAGGCCTTCGTGGTAGTTGGAGTATAAAAAAAAGACTTTCTCGGTATTGTGCAACCAACAAAGCATGATGGGGAACTGATTTGCAGCTTGCAGCATGGTCATTGAGCGTGACGTATTGTTGAGTCATTAATCCACAGATGGACGCTTTTGATGACGCTCGCATCGCTCATTACGAGCAAACGCGGAATGTACTATTTGCTCACTAGCCAGTAATAAGTTGATATTTTGTCGGTTATTTTTGACATTATCGGTTTTTACGTAATCGCTCGTCGATGTGGAATAAACTTGAAACTCTCTGTTGAAGAAGTGTTATAAACTCTCTGTTGAAGAAGTGTTATAAACTCTCTTGTACATACCTTAAGATTGCTTAATTTGCTTATAGCTAATAATGTGGAATTGTCAATTGGGCCAAGTGGATTGTTACTCAGATCAAGTATTTCTAATTCGGTGATATGATCTGTGACGTCTGGATTAAGTGAACGAATCTTGTTATTACCCAATCGTAGTTCCTTTAAATTGTTCAATGGAGAGGGTTTTCCATCCTTGTCGAAGCCCTAAAACATCGGAAGGTAATAGTCTGAAATTTCATGTTGAGGGATGCAAAGACAAACTAACTATACAAGGTGATTTTGGGAAAACTGTAACAATCTTTCTTGGTCGGAAAGTAGGTAATAATAATAATAATTCTTGTAATACTGAGATTGCATGCAAATATTTTTAAGCTGCCACAGAAAGCTATTATACTGAACACCTCTCGAATAGTGCGACGAATCTTAAGTCAAGATTAGTCGAGAATGTTTGATGAGAACCTCCCGCACCTCGCTTTAACCAGGAAGAAAACCTGAGAAAAAGTAGAGAAATAATAATAATAATATATGTTTTTATTGCATCATTAGATGTTCTACCCTGTATATATACTAAGTGACATATAAATCCGAACACCCGGTTTAAATGGTTTTATTTTAATAAAAGTTGGTAAGTGTATTTATCTTACTGTAAATAAAAAGTGAAAAAATTTTCAGCCTTATCAGTTGGACATTCCGGTTTTTATACTGCTTTTTTTTAATTCACTAACGCTCTAAAAATGAGTATTTCAGCCGCAGTAAAGAATCAACGTTGGCGGATTTTGGTTCTTGACATCCTTTACGATCGGTTACGATGCCTAGAGTACGGATACCTGTACGATTTCGTCAACTTAGTGAGTTTGATAGGGGCCGTATAGTGGGACTTCGGGAAGCTGGACTTTCTTTTCGGGCAATTGCAGTTAGAGTACAAAGAAGTGTTGACACTGTGGTTAGGTGTTGTCAGGCATGGCTTCGAAGGTCGTACGCAAAGAGCAAGGGGCACTGGACGCCGCCGTAGAACAACAGACCGTGAAGATCGTCGCCTAAGTTATTGGCCTTAAGGGACCGTTTCTCCACTACCAGGTCCATTGCAAATGAATGGTTTGCAGAACACGGAAGACCTATTGGCATGCGAAGTGTTTACCGACGAATGAGAAGTTTTGGCTTGTTTTCATACCGGCCACACTGGGTCCTCCCTTTAACTCGAGAACACCGACGTAATCGCCTTGAGTGGTGCAGACAACGGTCACTCTGGGATCAGGAATGGAACAGTATTGTCTTTAGTGACGAGTCTCGATTTTGTTTAGGCATGCACGATGGTCGTGCCAGGGTTAGAAGGCGACGTGGTGAAAGGAGGAATCCACAGTTTTTTGTTGAAAGACATGTTGATCACACTGTTGGAGTTATGGTTTGGGGTGCTATAGCTTCTGGTTCCAGGTCACCTTTAATCTTCATCAGAGGTAACATGAACGCGCAGCGTTATATCCACGAAGTTCTAGAACCCCATCTTTTACCCTATCTTGACACCCTGGCAGATCCAACTTTCCAACAAGATAATGCCCGACCACATGTTGTAAGAGTCACAATAGACTTCTTTCAACATAATGATGTCACATTGTTACCATGGCCACCAAGATCTCCCGACTTATCCCCAATTGAGCACGTGTGGGATATGTTGGGTAGGAGATTGCTCAATTTGCAACGTCCTCCTCAGACTCTAGAAGCACTTCGAGAGGAGTTGGTGGTTGCCTGGAATGAGTTACCACAGGAGGACATTGACCACCTGATCAGAAGCATGCCTAGGCGCTTTGGAGAATGCGTAGCACATCAGGGTGCATCCACACATTATTAACTGTCAAAGGGCTTTAAAGCAGTGCAATCATTTTTTTATCATTTACTTATTATGCTTCATTAAGTACTTATACAAAATTTTATTAAAATAAAACCATTTAAACTGGGTGTTCGGATGTATATGTCACTTAGTATACTTCTTCTACCGATACTTCTTTGTTGTTAACATTATTACTCATGTTCATGCCTAGAGTCGAAACAAAGGTTAAATGCCCAGATTAATGAAAAGAAAAAATGGCGTCAAGTAGCTTTTTGATCTAGCTACCAGCATGTATAACAAAAAAGTTAAATGGGTCAAGTCTGCTAAATATATACAGGGTGGCGCATCGAAAACGAAACAGACGCATTTACTGGCAGCTCAGTTTTTTTTTGAAAAACGCTCAGACCCGTCGATTTTTTTTTTCGAGGGGGACACAAGTTTGGCGAAAAATCACGTTAGCAGCCCCTAAGCGGGGGTGACACCACCCCCAAAATCTTAAATGGAAAGGGGGGTCGAGTGATACCTTATTTTAAAGGTCTTTCAATTCCCTTTACTATGATATAAAATTAATGTACTTCAGTTCAGTAGTTATGAAGATTTATTGATTTAAAGCTTAAATAAAACTAATACATCATCATTAGTGGAGATCAATACATTTGGCAGCAAAGTAATTTAAAAATGAAGAATGAACTGACCCGTTAGGCAAGTAAATGTTTAAAATGGCCACCATGACTTTCCATGCAATAATACAGATTTTGGTCAAAACGTTGCCGCACATTTTGCAATATTTGAGGAGTAATTTGAAGGCACTCATTCACAATTCTTTGTCGCAGGTCTTCTAATGATGTTGGCTGAGTAGCATAGATTTTACTTTTTAAATGACCCCACATAAAGAAATCCAAAGGTGATAAATCTGTTGATCTTGGGGGCCATTCAATGTGGTGGGGCACCATCCTGTTGGAACATCAACCTATTCGCAATTTACCGCCGATCATTCTGATTTTCAATTATGGCTGTGAATGCAGGATCTATGGCGTCTTCCAGTAATTCCAAATACATTTCACTGGTCAAATTTCCAGGTAAGAAAATAGGACCAACTAAATGATCGACAAAAATACCAGCCCAAACATTTAATTTTTGTGGCTGCTGTGTATGAACCTCATGATAAATTCTGGGATTAGAATCGGACCGATATCGGCAGTTATGACGATTTACTACGCCATTTAAGAAAAAGGAACATTCGTCGGAAAAGCAAGTGTTGAATAGAAAATGTTCATCGTTTATAATTCGTTCACTCATATCTTCACAAAATCGTAATCGCCGATCAAAATCGTCTTCATTAAATTCTTGTACTAGGTGAATTTTATACGGATGAAAACTATGGGCCTATAGAATCTGTTGGACAGTACGTCGACTAACACCACACACAGTCTCCAATTTGCGGGTACTTAACGTAGGATCTACATAAACTTGCCCTAAAACCCCCACTTATGGGATTTTCAATGTTGCGTTTTTTATTGGCGACTGACCCAGTTTCTCGAAATTTAGCTACAAGTCCTAGAACATATTTTCGATGCACGTTAACTGTTCTCATGTCGCTCATTAAATATTTCTGCAACAAAATGATAAACAAACCATGGGCGTAGTGAAGAAAAGCATTTACTTATTAAGTAAATTCTTTTAGTCAAATTTCTTCTGAAAGTAGTACAAACTAATCTGATGTACCTATTAAAGTCTACCGTAAGCTTTAAATCAATAAATCTTCAAAACTACTGAACTGAAGTACATTAATTTTATATCAGTATAAAGGGAATTGAAAGACCTTTAAAATAAGATATCACTCGTCCCCCCTTTCCCTTTAAAATTTTAGGGTTGGTGTCACACCCGCCCAGGGGGCTGAACGTGTTAACGTGATTTTTTGCCAAACTTGTGTCCCCTTCGAAAACAAAATCGACGGGTCTGAGCGTTTTTCCAAAAAAAAAACTGAGCTGCCAGTAAATGCGCCTGTTTCGTTTTCGATGCGCCACCCTGTATAAATATTTCATAATCCATAGTCCCCAATCGTTTGATAGCGCTAAAACTACTTTCTTCCCTGCACTAAGTATCAACCATCTGGCAACGCTGCTGAACCACACCAGTCAAAAATATAATTAGCGCCCACTACGACACTATATCTTGATATCGAGGCCCCGGCAATTTTCCTAAAAGCAGTCTTGCCGGCCATGCAGTTAGTTCGACGTGTAAGTCGTTCAGACCAAATGCGTGTCGCGTTTGTAAATACTTATACTAAGTCAGGGAAATTTTAGGTGTGTGAAATTCGTACTGATACGTGCATAAAATGACTCGGGTTGGAAGTGTATAAATACAGGGTGTTCCTTAATGATATGCGAATATTTAAGGGTGTGAATCTACATGAAAAATTAATGTTAGTTTGCTTTATAAAATATGGTCCAAAAAGGTTTCCTTACAAAAACTTGGGATGTTGAAGTTTTAGGAAAAAAATGGAAATGAATTGATATTTTCAGAACCGCTTCAGATATTTCACTGATATTAGTACGTAGTGAAAGGTGATAAAGTTGCATATTTTTCAACGCAAAAATAATTTTTAGCTCCAACAGTGGCGTGCGTACGGGTATTGACTTCGATATTTTTTGAGAAAAAAATGGTACGCCAATGGTTTTTTGTCAAATAAATATTATTTTTGAATTTGCCGTTCAATTTAGAACAAACGATCTCTTTTGAATTTTTTCCTTCGATGCGCCATTTTTGAGTAAAAAAATAAAAACCGTTCTATTGTCTAACTAGCAAAATTATTATTAATCTAATTGGAAAAATTAAACACATTAGGGCTAATGAACAACAACAACTGACAACATAAACATAACATTAACAACGAAATGATTACAAAAGTTGTTCAAAATGGCCCCCTTCACTTAGTATGCATGCTTCCGCCCTCCTCATGGAATTGCGCACTCGTTGAAATATCCCTGGAGTGTTTTTTATTCTATCACAAGCAGCAACTGTTCTTCCTCTTAATTCCTCTACAGTGTTAATGGGACTTCTGTACTTAAGATAGCCCCACAAAAAGAAAGCGCAGCAGTTGGTATGAATTTTAAGAGAGATGAACGCCCAAAAATTTTATATTTATAAAATTTGCTGTATAGCAAGAATTCGTCATATATCTCAAGAGTTGCTTCCAAGTATTGCAAACGACTAAATTGTTACTTAAAAAAGTAATCCATATGAATACTGAAATCATCGTGGAAGCCTATTTATCAATGGATAAGACATTGAAATCCAAACAGAAACAAAAGTATCAATCATAGTTAAGTAAATATGATTTATGGTGCTACCACCAAAAAATTTTTGAAGCTGCTCTCCTTCTTCTCTTGTACGCAGTGTCATAACTTACCTTGAAAACATCTGGATCAATTTTTTCCAAATCATTATGACTCAAAATCAGCGTCGTCATATTCTTCAAATTCATAAATACGTTGCTTCCGATAGATATAATATCATTGTAAGACAGATCCAGAGAAACCAGACTTGATGCAGGGAATATATTTGTGAGGTTGGGTAAAACTCCATTTTGGAAACTGACTATGTCGTAGTCAAAAGTTTCGTTTTTTTCATTTTTCCAGTTAGACTCAATGAAAATGATACGTTCAACGTCATGTCTGCAAGAGACTATACGACGAACTGTAGTTGTGTTTGTAATTTGGCATTCGCAACTTTTACAAAATGGAGGTTGATCAGAGCCTCCTGAGATGAATGACTGCACGAGGAGGATCAGACACAAGAATACCTTCATTCTGAAAATAGAAAAATTGATAGCGAAATAAATGGTTTTAAATCAGGACGAGCCTATGATGAAATAAAAGAAAATGGTTTGTGCGTGAGATACGATTTTTTCATTTGAAACACTCAGCATGTAGAGATGTGCGCTGCCATTATATATTTGATTTTACTTACATTTGGAGAATCTCAATCCAGACAAATTAATCAGTAAAAACGTAATCACTAGACAATGCTTTCACATACTTCTAAATAAAAACGAATCTTTGCAACGCCCAAGTTCTTATCTACGGCAAACGTTATCTTATCTTCGGGCTTTGGTAAATATGATAGTTTGCCGGGAAATTTCAGGTGAGATATGTTGGAGTGTTGGTATTATGTATCATAGCTTGATTTGAATCGAGACGCAATTCCGCATAAATTGTTGATTAATTCAGTTGGGATGCCAGAAGTGTCCCTAAAGAATTTGGGAAGAATGTAAAATGTATCTCTCCGACTAGATACGTAGAACTGCAGAATTCGATTTCTAAAAAAAAAGTCAAACAGTTACGAAAATTTGGACTTATAGTAAAATTGATAGAAGTAGTTGGGCTTAAACTAGAAATGAAACTTGCTTATTTTAAATATATTGCTTATGTTATTCGATTTTTAACACACAACAAAAAAAATCACCCTTTTCAAAATACGTAATACCCCTGTCGCAGGGTTGCTACGTGAATAACCAACAATAATATTCCTGTATGTACCAGATTTTCTGACCTGTTAGTTTTAATATACTTCACCAACCAGGAATGTTCTTTTCATGTGACTCTCTTTTTTAAATTCAGCAAATTTGCATATGTAATTTCCAGGTTGAATAAGAAAATGCGGTTTACATGCAAACTCAAGTAAGTATATTTGAGGCAAAAAACCAATGGAATTATCATCAACACAGATTACTAGCACACAAATCCTCACTATGCACTTATGCACTGCCGTTTCCTCCCAGCTATAGAATACAACTTACAGCTTAGATCTCCAACGATGCCATCCCTGAAGCAGATGTTGCATCACATCAGAGCCAAACATTGATGGCTGAAGCATTATGACGTTTAGACAACACGTACAGCTACGGAACGAGTACACATCAAGTGACATTTTGTAGAAAAACCTACATAATGTTGCAAAAACACTATACAGGGTGGCCCATCCATGTGTGGACGGAATATTACTCATAAACAAATACATTTTGGGAAAATCTACTTATGGCATGTTATACATGCATGAGGGCACATTTGCTAAAATATTGACAATTATACAGGGTGTCCCAATTTTGACCTACATACCGAAGTAGTAATTTTTTAAATAGAATGCCTCAAATTTTATTGCATATTTGGATAAACCAATTCAAAAGAAGAAGATTTATATAACATACTATGGGGTTTTGGTAATTAGCTACTGAGATGTAGGGTGTTTTGTCCAGAAAAGTCGCCCACTTCGGCAACCCCTCAATCCGCCATTTTGAAATTTATAGTGCTGCATTTTGTATCAAAAAAATCATACACATCTCAGCTTTTATCTTATTTGTTACTTTTTCGAATTTTCATTTTTACTCATACAGGGTGGTCAAAAACGCGAATTATACTTTTTCTCAAAAATTTCAAATGCATCACCCTGTATATTTGTGCAAGTTTGGATGCAATTTTTTATAAGTTGTTTTTTGGTATATGGTTTGATTCAAATTAAATCACTAGATTTTGAGTTATTAAGCTTTTAATAGAACACACACCAGTATAAATCAGCTTTAAACGTAATAGAGAAAAATAACTATAACAACAACATAAACAAACAACTATCACTACTCAAGACCTAATCTACAAAAACTGCTCGAAAATATCTCCTCCATTCCACCATATTGAAGACACAGCCGTAGTCTTTGGATAGATGACCGTTGCACATCCCTCAGCATGGGTGTTCCCTTCTGTTCAGAAAAGCATCCTTAATCCTTTCCTTCATATTTTCCGGGGTAGATGGTGGATATCTATAAACCTCTTGCTTAACATAGCCCCATAGAAAGAGGTCCATCGGTGTCATATCTGGTGATCTAGGATGCCAAGATATAGGCCCATCACGACCGATCCAACGATTGTTACTCCAGGTGTCCAAATATATAGTTACGCACACGGTTAAGATAACGCGCAGGTGCGCCGCCATGTTGGAAGTACATATGCATCCGAGTTTGCAGGTCGACATTCTCCAGAAGCAAAGACAAATTCTCAATCAAAAAATTCAAGTATTCTGTACCTGTTAATCTGTTGTTGAAAAAGAAAGGCCCGATAACTTGTCTGCCAATAAGTCCTCCCCAAACATTCAAGCTCCATTTATTTTTTAAATCTATTTACCTAACCCAGTAAGGGTTTTCCGTCGCATAATAGTGCATGTTATGCCTGTTGACAACACCTATGCTGTTAAAAGTTGCCTCATTGATAAAAAGAACCTTATCCAGGAAAGTAGTGTCTTCACTCACTTTATTTAGCATTATTCTACTAAACTCCATTCGAGCTGTGAAATCCTGAGGAAGATGGCCTTGATGCAAGCACAGGTGATATGAATGGTACCTATGCTTGTGAATAATCGTTTGGACAGAAGTTCTGCATATATCAGTTTCTGCTCCAATTTGCCGTGCACTTAAATGGGGATTTTCCTGCAACTTTAATAGAACCTCTAACTTATTCGCCTCATTGGTGATACTTGTTTCAAAACGTTCTCGTAGTGTGGAAAATGTTTCCAGCCTTGTATGTCGCATATTAGGATATCGTTGCTTATAAATGCGAAATGCTAGGAAACTATTTCTTTGGGCTTCGCCCAAAATGAACATCATATTCACCATTTCCTTTTTTGGAAAAATTCATTTTCAAATAAGCTAATAATAAAGCTAATTTTGGCGGTTTCTAACTAATCAACAATTTATTTGTTTCCTAGGATTATGCGATATTTTGGGTAATTAAGCCGTTCCTAATAAACGAAAAAATAGTCTAAGTGGGGGTTTTTGTAGACAAAACACCTTATATCTCAGTAGCTAGTTACCAAATCCCCACAGTATGTTATATCAATTTTCTTCTTTAAAATCACAACTTTGATATATAGGTTGAGATTGGGACACCCTGTATAATGGCCAATATTTTAGAAATGTTCCCTCAAATGTCATGTATAACAACCCATAAATAGATTTTCCCAAAATGTATTTGTTTATGAGTAATATTCCGGCCACACATGGATGGGCTACCCTGTATAATGTCAAAAAACGACCTTATGTCATTTTTCAAGATAGGTAATACCTCTGCCGGTATTTAATAGAGATTTTGTGGTAAACTTTAGCGTTGATGTACCTGGTTAGCAGAAAGGGCCAACGATAATAATAATAAAGCAAATAATAAAGCATTTATTGCAAAACAGTACAGGTACCATTTAGAAAGCAATACATAGTACAATGGTTTAATTTACACAGTCTGTGTGTCATAAAGTGAAACAAAAAAACACACAGAAAAGAGGAAGGCGCTTTAAGTAGAGAAAAAAGAAACTATAAATATGATCAATAGATATTAGGAAACCAGAATATACTCGTATATACATAAATATCCATATACACATACATACACATATATACACATATATACACATATATACACATATATATATATATATATATATATATAAAGAGAATATGATCATGCGGAGAAAGGTATATAACAACAAATAGGAAAATAATGGGCAAAATCCGCAAAAAGGAATAAAGTGGATTCGAGCAGAAAATAGGATAGGTAACCCGAGCGATACGTATTTCTGCTGGTTGGCTTCATCAGGCCCGAAATGAATGCACATATGAAACTACAAAAGTAGATACACATACATCCGGATATGGGTGTAACCTGAGGAAACGAAGTTGGAGGGAGAAAAAACGACACACGAAGTCCACATAGTTTCATATGTGCATTCATTTCGGGCCTGATGAAGCCAACCAGCAGAAATACGTATCGCTCGGGTTACCTATCCTATTTTCTGCTTGAATCCACTTTCCTCCTTTTTGCGGATTTTGCCCATTATTTTCCTATATATATATAACAAACGAAAACCCCTAGAGAAAGGCGTAAAAAAATTCAAAGATGTGAACGTATAGCACTTCGTAATTCCTGAAATCCACAACAGAAGATATCACAAAAACTCACAATCCTATTCGCATTATTGCACATAAAGTTTATTGGTGCTTTAGATAGAAGATTTGTCTGCGCCCTCTTGCAGTAAAAGGAAACTTTATATTTAGATATCAATCTAGGTAGGTACCAGGAAATTAATTTGCGATAGCAAAACAGGACAGTCGATGTTACCATGCAGTAATTTGTATAAAATGGACGCCTGCTCTCTGCGCTTTTCCAAAGAAGGGACGCGAAATCTATTCAATAATTGGGAGTAGTCACATCCTCTTGGAGGATAGACACCATCACTGCTATAGCATAGATATTTTAGAAATTTCTTTTGCACTTTTTCAACATTACATATTTTTGTACAGTTTATAGATAGGACTCCAAATAATTGCACCGTATTCTAATTTACTTATAAGAAGCACTGAAAATAACTTAATAAGCGTTGTGTTATTGAAATTTCTACAATTTCTAATAATAAAGCCTTATTCGCGATACGCATTACTTATAATTTCACTGATGTGGTAGTTAAAAGTGAGCTGACAATCGAAATAGACGCCCACATCCTTGAAAGTTTCACAACTTTCCAATACAGAATCACAAAAGATAGCCTAGTTACCAGTTAGATACGCCACTGGTCGAGCGCATCCCGCATGCAGAATCTGTTCTATCCGAACGAAATTTGAGAAGTGCCCCATGCTCATTTGGGCCCCCTCTTCGCATTTAAAGCGGTGGCAAACATCAAACTAATGAGGTGCTTATAAGCAGTTCTGTTGGCGTTTTCGCATCACGTACACCCAGGCACAGCCTACTCGGATCCAGATAAAGCACGAATAATGCTGGAAAGCTGCCGGCATCAGGAGCGATTCAAGATTTATCGGACTTGTTAGTTTCGAATGCCGACGCTACCTAACAGGGGAGATTTAGGAAGTTCCGCAGTTTGGAAATGCCATATTTAAGTTGTTGCATCTATTTTTAATAGTCCATGTATACGGAGAGGGTAAAGATACTGAGCTAAGATTTTAGACGTTCAGTAAATACGTAATAAGCAATGAAAACACACAGAGTCTCCCGGCCCAAATTGAACCAGGAACTTAGAAACTGGGGTACCTGGACCCCTAGTAGGCCTTTTCGTAGAAAAGAAGTGCATTTTATAAAATATAATAATAATAATAATAATAATAATAATAATAATAAATGGCCTTTATTCGTCACACGATTACAAAATAATTGGTTT